AACCAGAAAAGTGGGACAGGTTAATCCTGGTTTACACTGACCATCACTCAGCAGCTCCTCGTGTGTTGCCCTGGTTAATGAGAGGAAGATAAGAGGAGTCTCTTCTCACTTCTGATGATGTTAACTGGTTTCACCAGATTGGATTAAGCGTGACAATGTGTAGGTTTTACCATTAATCTCTGGAAGTATTCATGGAAACATTATTGAAAATCAATTAAATAAAAGTGATGCCCAGTTGTTGTAAAATATTGGTGTCTTCATGACATATAACCATCAAAAATGGGTCTAAAATAGATGGGAGCGGGTCTGGTGGACGTCGTGCTTCCCTCTACGGGAGCCCGTGAGGACAAAATGCATTTACTGATTTGTAACAAACAGTTACTAAACTTTCACCATTCATAAACATTGTTATTTTACACATTTACCTCTTCACTTGTTGCCAGTGAGGAAAGTGATGTGCTTGTTATTTGCTGGAGGTTGCACTCCCAGGTGATTTTGACCCTAATGGCCATCTGTTGGTAAGGTTCTAGGAAGGGGTTTGCTCAGCTTTTGTTCTGAAGGAGCAGACTAATTCCAGGTAGCAAGATGAGAACAAGTTCCAAACTGGTCACACATCCCAGCTGTTTAGGAATAAAGAGAGAATATTAACATATTGTTACAAAAAACTGATTTTACCCTATTATTGATTAACACTCTTTTCTTTCTTTCTTGTACTTTTGGAACAAATCAACAACGTTTTCTTCAAACACACAGCTGATAAAAGCCTCTGCTATCGTTCAAGGTAAATGCAAAGTTCAAAGGCAGTCAGAAGTGTTTGCAAAGCATTGGGTGTAGACATTAGCTTTGCAGCAATTAGTTTTTGCTCTTTTTTTCATTTTAGACTTATCTTTATTTCTGCAGATAAGCTGAAGCTGATTCATTCTTGTCAAAAGGGGTTTGGTCGCCACCTTGATCGCCACGTTTTTAATTTCGTCCGAGTGAGTAAAGATGTTGGATGACAGCGAGGTTTCAGTCTAAGATTGATGTTTGAGTAATGGCAATAAATCAACATTGGACATGTTTTTGTAGTTGTGTTGCACACACACACACACACACACACACACACACACACACACACACACACACACACACACACACACACACACACGCACACACACACACAGTGTAGGTGTGCTTTTGTGTTCAACAGGCTTATAAAACTATTACTGCATTCCTTGTGTGTGTACTTGTCTGCTCTTGCCCCATCTTAAGCCACACCCATAGAGAGTTTTTATAGTAACAGCTATAGAATCATGTCTCTGAATCCTTTGAAGTAGACACTTAAGAGTCAGTGAAGCATGTGTGTGTTTATATTTATACCAACTTATTGTAATAACAAATACAATATACGATGAAATAAATTTTGTTCAAGCTTGTTTGAATTTCAATATAAGTGATGTTTTTAATTGCAGTCTGGTTTCATAACAAAGCACATAAATATTTTTAATGACACACTTGTTTTTGGTTTTTGCACATTATTATATGTTTTTAAATGAATATTAAAGGTGCAGAACACTGAAAAAAAACATGTTTAATGATTCTTTCTGATTATAATTGGTCACTCTGAGTTTTTCATGCAGGCTGAACATGAAATAGTCTCCTACACCTATCTCCTGCATTAGCTTCTGACAGAAAATAGGTGGTGAAATGCTAGGCTTTGAAAAGCCTGACGGATCTACATCATACAGGTCACTTACTGCATGGTTGCTTAGTATTGAGGATTACTGTAAAGACACTGACACTAGTCAGTGACTCGATGCAAGTTGCTGGGTTACTTATACAGAAAGCTTTTTACTGATTGGCTTAATGAACTGACCTGTATTGGAATGTTTACTTTGTGAAGTGCCTTGAGACGACTCTTGTCTAGATTTAGCGCTGTATAAATACACCAAAATGAAATTGAATTGAACTTAACATGCATGGACTCACCCATCTTGACATTCGACGGGGAAGGCTGTTGTTCATTCAAAGATACTTTATTAATCCCAGAGGGAAATTAGAGTTTCAGTACACACAATTCAGAGATCAGACATACATGGGCAAGACACATGACAAGAATTGGTGACTGTGGTCATTCGCAACCCTGAGTCTTAATAGAGATCAGAGGGTTACATGAGGATTGGTTCAGGTGGAGGGGGGGAAAAGGCACTTCAGAGTTACCCTCCACTGAAAGGGAAGCTTTGCGCTGCAAAAAAAACACCTCAGACAGATATGCAACAGACTTCAGACATCATACAACATAAGTGTCCACTAGGTGGGGTGGTGGGTTTGGGACTATCCACACTTCAGTTCCTGCAGCCACTACAAGCAGCGCATGTCACCTCAGTCTGAACAGGGGGAGGAGCATTGAGGATTGAAGGGTTGCAGTGACCCTGGAAAGATTTGGCGGCCTTACCGCAGTCCCGCCCAGGCTGGGATAGGAGACAGAGTTGAGTTGCCATAGCGACGGCACATTCCACATATCTTCTGAGGGGGGAGTTTTCGTTGGAGCCTTGCAGGCTCAAGGACGCCAGATTCCAATTAGAAATTGTTTTGGGGCCAGACAGAGATAATTTCCTCTCTGTCTTAAAGTTCCTTGGTCCTCAACCTCTCAAAATCCCAATAATGGACATTAATCTATCCCAATCTGTGCTGATTCGTCCACTCTATCCTTGATGGCATCCATCTTTTGTGCCAATGAATGAATCTTGGCCAAAGTTCCAAGCTTACGATTTATCTCGACAATTATTTGAGTCTGTGAATTCACAGCGTGGTGCAAACCATCTCTGAGCTCCGGGATCAGGCCAATATTCCTCGACAGCTCGTTAATTTTCCGGTAAGCCAGGAAGCCTCCAAGGCCAATGAGCAGGAAACCTGACACCAACACCACGAATATCCACACGTCTTCAGAGTCCTCCACAGACAGCTGAGAAAGACAGATCAAGTTCCACTGTTTCCAGAAGTCCATGATGTGTCCAACTGGGTCTGTCCCGGAGGGGCATCCGGGAGCCCCTTCTCCTATTCTCATCATTGAAAAATTTTTATCAATCGCGTTGAGTGACCAACTGACGAGGTACATTTTAGTGAATTTCAGTTTCCAGTTTCCAGAAAAAATGCAGAAGCAGCCGTGCACACAGCACACAGAGACAGACAAAGGGCCTTGAGAATAAGATATGGAGGACAGGAGGAAAAAGCGTCTGCACCCTCTGAGAGCCGGAAGAACCAGAAAACAGCAGAGAACGTCTTGGCTAGTAGATGCCAACTGTTAGCATTAGCAGACCCACCATACAGCAGAACTCCTCAAGGCTTGAGTTATTAGTGGAGATAAAACATCAACGTTGCAAGTCATTGGTAGAGTAGCATTGCTGTCATCCAATCCAAGACAAGATGTCCCAATATCAGGAAGTAAGAATTCAAAATCTGCCATTTGAAGCTCAGCTGTGATTAAACAAATTGATTAAACAAATGTTCTGCACCTTTAAATGACATGCAAAAAAAAAAAGCACAACATTTATATTTTTTGTTTTTAACATATCAAACCCGTCTGACTGGTCACACCCATGTCTGCAACTCCAAATCCATAAACAGATTAAAATAACACAAAACACTTCGTGGCTGTTTACAATCATAAAATGCATAATTAAATCAATGTCTGAGTTACTGCTTCAAAACACAGAAAAATGTCCTGCTAAGTCACATATGTTTTTTCTTTTTCTTGAATCTGTGCAGCCATAATAAAAGCATCCCAAGAGTGCAACTCTCTTGTGAAACGTTGCACGAAACTTTGCGAATCTTTTAACGAGGACATAATAAAAGGTTGGCACTTATGTCGTCAAAAAGCCTGAAATAAAAGAGAACTGGCCACATTTTGTCCATCTCCTAATCAAGCACTTACTGTGCTACACCTGCTGATTTCCTTGTAATTACTCATAAGGTGCATCAAGTCATGCAGGTAAAGCCATTTCAATTATTTGATTTTCTCACAGGCTGGCAGCCACATAAAATTCCAGAGTCCACTAACTGTCAGAACAAATGCACTTTTCATGTTCGGTTTTATGCAAATGTTTAACTCAACCTGTTCAAGGAGGAACCTGGGCTACCTCCAGTTGTTCGTCAGTGTGTTTGTACTGCAAGTAGAAAGTTTGTTTAATCCATTTTTAACATTCCCTCTAAAAGGAAGACATTCAATCCATCTTTCAAGATTTCTGATTTGTAATTTCTCCAAAACAACTGGGACTTTCTGAGAAATCCTAGTGATCCCACTAAGAAGGAGAAGGGACTGTGACAGGAGGAGGTTACATGCAGTCAAACTATTGTTCAGCTGCAAATTTAGCATCAGTTGGGTGTGCTCCTGCACACACTCGCCTAAATACACACATGCATCATGCACTTGTGCAGGATTGAGCTTGAAAGAGCTGATAGCAGGGTGAAAGAACTTGACATTTATTTTCCTAATCACCTGCGACACCTCCTTTCTGTTTGTGCTGCAAGAGGAGCTCAACAAAGGACCCATTTTCTCGCCATCCTTATTTGTCCAAGCGTGTTTCTCCCCAGCTTCCAGAAACCACAGACTCGTTCTTTTATCCCCAGCAATGTTAGCTTTTAAATCCACATACTCATTTGGTGCTAAATGGTAAAAGTTTTTGCTGCTTGTCACAAGAATTCAAACACACCTGAAAAACAGACTTTTACACATTTCCCACCACACATTTGCTTACATTTCCTCTTCAGAATTTCAATTTGAGCTGGTGTGGTTTCAGATGGTTCTTTTTGGTCATATTCAGGAGATCTAAACAGTAATATGATGCCAAAAAAAAAGCCTGGTTCTTTTTTTCAGCTCGTTTTTCATTTCTCAGGTACATGATTCTAAATGGAATAAAGACACCTCCTTCTGGATTTAAACATGTAAAATTAAAGCCCTGTATATTGTGTTTTGTTATGGTTTGGTCACACCAACTAACAACTTGTTTTTCCCCCCACAGTGGATTTGATTTGTTTCAACCCTGGATGTGTCTGCACATCCCTCCATCGTCCCCCACTGTCTCGGGTTGCCTACAATCAGGCATGATGGCCCGAGGCCTCCGGATAAATCCCCAGCCCAGACGTCTGCACAGCTCTGGTCTGCCTCATCGGGAGTCCCACGCTGATTGCTGCTTTAGTCGCCCATCTTTGTTTTTTGGGGGGGGGGGTCTTGCATTGTGAGGAGGCTGTTGTATTATTGTCCCACTGAATGAGACTGGCTGTGTGGGCACTGTTAAATGGGCCCACTTGAGAATCCAACAGTGTACCAACATCACTGAGGAAGGTGAGGAGGGACAACCTACAGTTTGGACAAACAGGCTCAAAAACCGGCAGTGCATCTGGAATAGGGAAAGGAAACGATTACTTCACGCTTCAGTTTTAACACAGATTTAACCTTTGCTATTCAAATGTATACATATGTTTTAAATTTCTTCATCAAGCAGGTGTAACCCATCTCAAACTGCTCTTGACTTTATCTACATGAGCCAGAAAGTGATAGAATGAGTGAAAAATGTGAGACAGCTTTGAGAAACCTCTTGCAAAAGTGTGAAACTTTTTACAAATTGTTTACATTTTCTTACGGTTTTGTGTCTCTAATTAGTCTCCAAGAATGCTATTGTTTTGTTTTGATTGCAGATTACTCCACAAGAAAGATCCAGTTAAACAGTGTTTCTGTTTCATATCATTGAATTTTTTAAACTGTGGCTTTTACCAACAGCAAAACTCTTTAAACGCTTTTTAAGTGAGGGTAGGTCATTACCAGTAAAGTCAAAGAGTGGTCTCAAATGTTCCTTTGAGAACAAAAACGAAAAAAAGATTTAAAAAATCAGTCATGTTTTAATTTTTTTTTACAGGATGCTGCAATTAAACATTTCCAAGAGCGTCTGGCTGTGTTTTGAATTCCTTCACTTGTTTCTGCAACTAATCACAGACTGAGCCGCTATCAGATCCGAATCTGCTTAAATGTCTTTAACAAACCGGTCAAATCAGTGAAGGAAAGGAAGAAGCAAACATGATGCTACTTTTATGTTTGTTTCTATAAAGCTTTAAACTGATCCTCTACGTCAATACAACAATACAAAAGGCTGTCATGGAGATTGATCTTTGTGGTAACTTTATAAAAGTTTTTTTTGAATGAAAATTCGTTCAAAAACTAAAAGAAAACTCAAAAAGATGGCTTCAGAGTTTTTTTTTTTTTTTTTTAGGAAACAGAGTAGATTTGACCTTTGGTGTCCAAAATAGTGAGATCGGAAAGCTGAGTGCCAGTTCGGAAAAATGGATTGTAACAGCAGCAGAAAGACAATATGAAACTTTACACTGACGGTCATGCAGATAAACCTGAGGTTACCTCTGCAGCGGAGTCACAGGAGGGATGCGAGCCGGGATCAGGTTTCTGATGCTCACAGAGAATCTCAGTGGATAATAAGGGTGACTGAGCTCGGCTCCATTGTACGTGTGCATTGTGTTACATGGGAATGAGGACAGCAGGAAAAAACAACCTTTTGTTGAAGTTTAATATTTGGTATTATCTCAGCAGCTCTGGTACATTAACAAGCACGAACCCCAAACACACACACACACACACACACACGCTTATGCGTCTTCATGCGCAAGAGGGCTTGACCACTTCAAAGTCTTCAGTCTGCACACAAATGGCAGGAGGAGGCAAATTAGAGGGGGGACACGGGTGATTCTTCAGAGGGAAAGGAAGCACATCGGAAGAACCTTTAATCTCCCACAACTCAATCGAACACCCAGGCTAAATGCTGTCACATGGCTCTCTGGATCCATGTTTCATCAGATTGTCCTCGGTGAACACTGCTTCATCGTATGCTCGGCCTCTCACTGAGCAGCTTTATGTAGGAAGGACTCCCGATCCCAAGTATTGGATTTTAGCGGGCAAAGAACAAGATTTGATCAAAACTGTAACCCTCAAAAGAGCCTACACATTCCAGCAGCCTGGCTTAACTCATCATCTCTTCCTTTGTGACAGCCTACAATTGCAAACTCTTTAAGCAGCCCTGGAGATGTGTCGTAGATAAGCCATCCAGCTTAACGCCGTCCAGGTTTCTCGTGGTTTCCTGCAGGCACGCCATTCCCGCAGGCTGCAGATTTCATGTAGCAGGGTCAAATTTCAAAGATGCTTCTCGAAACACATTAGAGTGGTTTCTGATTGATCTTGTAATTATCAGCAGAGACATAATCCAAAATGAAGTTTCTTAATCAGATAACATGTATTCTTGATTGTGTTGCACATGAAAATGTTTCATGTGTTCACAGCTACGGTAAAGGAGACCATCCACGAGACCATGAAAGGGGCTGCTGAAGTGATTAGTGACCACAGCTTTTAGTAAAGGCACACTCTTTAATTACTGGAAACACCAATGGAGGTAAATACTCCGTCATTTGATAGCATCTGGGGCAGAACACCCACCTCTTACTTGGAACAACTCCAAACAAAGTGCCAGTAGTGAAACTGACAGCCCGGAGGTTCCTTCTGTCTCTAAACTAATCAAAAATGACAAAAGAGATGAAGCTCATTCAGAAAAACATCAACCTGTTTATTCGTGTTAACAAATCATGGAAAGTCCACAGAAAACCAGGGATGGAATGTAACAAAGTACTTGTACTTTGTTACTTAAGAACAATTTGGTTTTGTATTTGCACTTAAAATGTTTTCTTGGGGTCTACTTTTTACTTATACTCCACTACATTTCTAAAAAGTTACAAAAGTAACTTTCATTTGTATATTATCGAACCCTCCCTGTTATTGCAAAGGTCATAGTACTTTAATTTGTGTTTTCCCCTGCTCCCGGTCCGACAGCATACTACCACTGGTGAAACTTGAAAAATTAGCATAGCATGCAATAGTTAATTTATGTCTGTGAAAGCAAACCCAACTACTGAGTACATTTACGTGATTATACTTTTTCAACATTTCTATATTTAAAATCCTTGTTTTATTGTTTTCAGATATTATTCTGATTGTTTGGGATTTTGAATTTGGGGTTTTCATAAGCTGTAAGCTATAATCATCACAATTATAACACACAAAGGCTTGACATTAGCTTTGCATGCAAATAAAGCTGGTCAGATTCAGATCTCAGTCTGTAAAGTACTACAGTTGATTAAATAAATCTGGAGAAAATAAATGTTTGAATAGTTTGGATGAGTTACCAAGAAAAGGGAATTTTTTTTTCTCTAAAAACAACAAGGCAGCAGAGCTTCAGTTTGCAAACCACAGGACGTCTGGAACGATATCCCTTGGACAGATGAGACCAAAGAGAAGACGTTTGACCTTAATGCACGTTGAGAGAAACCCAAACACAGCAAACCTTCATTCTTGGGTTTAAACATTTTTTGTCATTTTTTAAAATCAAAATAAATGAATACATTTTAAAAAATATCAGGTTTAGCCTGTAAATCATGATGTGCACAACTCAGCCATAACAGATTATGTTTACTGTTACAGCTTATTGTCACGATCTGCCCCTGCCCTCCTGACTGTGTCCCTCTCCTGCCCTGATTAGTCCGTATTGTTCTCACCTGTCCCTCGTTAACCTGCCCATGTTTTTCCAATTAGCCTTGTGTATTTATACCACCTGTTTTGCACCTGTCCTTTGTCAGATCATTGTATGTGCATGTCTCGTTTTGTCCTGTCGCTCCTGTTGTAATTAAACCCATTTTTACTTTATCCGTGCCTGCTCTTCTGCCTCCTGAACCCCCCACCACACTTGGTCCACCATCTCCACCCTCACAACATGACAGAATGATCCGACCAAACCTGGACCCATGGTGAGCCTGCATTCTGTTCTGGAGGATTATTTTTTCTTTTTGTCCCTTTCAGCAGAGGGAGATTTCGGCCTGGAGTTTTTGGTTTTTCGGCGCATCCTACCTGTTCTCGGGGTGATCGAGCCCTCTGGGAGATTCCGGCGCATCCTAGCTGTTTTCGGGGTGGTTGGGGTCATTCTCCTCTCCTGCTGTTTCACCCCGTCCTGTTCTTCACGGAAGCTGCGGCTCCTGGAGTTCTCTGATGGAGGTAAAAACCCCTACGCACGCCATCATTCTCCGGGGTGGTAGGGCTGGTCTTCCTGCTCCGTGGTCTGCTTCCCTTCACCTGAGCCTGCCTGTGGATCCTGTCGAGTCACGGTGTGCACCTGCTCAGAACTGTAGTTGAGTACCTGCTACCTCTCCTGGTTTCCTCGCGTCGCTCCTGCTGTTTCGTCCCACTTCCTGGTCCACGCCTGCAGAGTCTATGCCTGCAGGTCCTTCACGCGGTAGTTCCTGCTGGGTCCTATGCCTGCTGCTGCAGTTCCTGCTGGGCCCCACGCCTGCTGCTGCAGGTTGTTTCCTGTCCAGTGAAGTGCTCGTGTTCCTGGTCAAGTCTTCATGTTCCTGGTCAAGTCTTCGTGTTCCTGGTCAAGTCTTCGTGTTCCTGGTCAAGTCTTCGTGCTCCTGGTCAAGTCTTTGTGTTCCTGGTCAAGTCTTCGTGTTCCTGGTCAAGTCTTCATGTTTCTGGTCAAGTGTTCCTGGTCAAGTGTTCCTGGTCAAGTGTTCCTGGTCAAGTGTTCCTGGTCAAGTGTTCCTGGTCAAGTGTTCCTGGTCAAGTCAAGTGCTCGTGGTTCAAGTCAAGTCTAGAGTTCCTGTGTCCCGAGTCTGCTGTGTTATGTGGCATTGTGGGCGTCTGGTATCCGCCCCTTAAGGGGTGTGTGGGGGGGGGGGGTACTGTCACAATCTGCCCCTGCCCTCCTGACTGTGTCCCTCTCCTGCCCTGATTAGTCCGTATTGTTCTCACCTGTCCCTCGTTAACCTGCCCATGTTTTCCCAATTAGCCTTGTGTATTTATACCACCTGTTTTGCACCTGTCCTTTGTCGGATCATTGTATGTGCATGTCTCATTTTGTCCTGTCGCTCCCGTTGTTATTAAACCCATTTTTACTTTATCCGTGCCTGCTCTTCTGCCTCCTGAACCCCCCACCACACTTGGTCCACCATCTCCACCCTCACAACATGACACTTATGGCTGAAACTTTATGATAAGTGTTTTAGTTAGAGTTGGATTGGGCTCTCCTGGCTCATCCCTTTAGTTTTGCTACTATAGGTTTGGATTGCTGGAGGACATGCTGACCAAATTACCTCATCCTTCTGCCTTTACACTCTCTACTCTCTATGTTGCTCTTACAGTTGTTGCTGTATCATAGTTTTTTCTGTTTACAAGCGTGTTCAGTCCTGGTCCTGGACAGCTGCTATACAGAATATTTGAGTTTTTTTCTCCTCCAACATACTTGATACAATTAAGAACCTGTTTGGTAGCTCATCAAGCTCTGCTGGAGTCTGTTAATCACCTACTGATTAAAACCAGGTATGTTGAAACAACTAAAACATGCTGGAACAAGACCAAGAGTAGGAACCCTGCTCCAGAAACAATTGGTCCAATCCTTTTCTTAACGCCTAAGTAAATCAATTTGAAAGATAAATAAATAGTGCGAGGAGAATAAAAACCATGATGCTAACATAAACATTGCTAACTATAAAAGTAGGACAGAAATTAAACCATAAACAATGAAACATTAGAAACTGAATCGTCACTTCTTGTTTCTGTTTAAGCTACAGTAGGGCAAATAGTTTTTGACATGATCGTGACTTATTTTATGTAATGAATTAATTACGTGTTATTTAATGAGCCATAAGGTGTGGGATCCATAGGAAATATGGAATCCACCTTACGGATCTGTGAGTTACTTAAACCAGAAGACTGGTTTTTATTGCAGGGATTAGATAACCGCTTTGTATTCACTCAGAGACAACAGAAGAGAGAGAGTCCAGTTTAAAAGTTAAGAATTTTATTACTAACAAATTAAACTAGACTGACTTTAAAACTAAAT